CTTCCTTCCTTCCTTCTCTTCCTTCCTTCCTTCCTTCCTTCTTCCTTCCTCCCTTCCTTCCTTCCTCCCTCCCTCCCTCCCTCTCTCTCTCTCTCTCTTTTGCAGACTTCCTTCAGCACTCGCCATTGAACTAGACTCTCTCCATGTTTGTGCATTCTGTAATGAAATTTAAGTTTTTTTCTTTGTCCCTGGGGGGTTTTGAGCAGCTCTTCCATCCTACTTTGATTCTCAGGAAATAATTAGTGATAACTGATTTTTGCAGATAACTGAAGTCTGAAATCCCCAGCAGTGCCATGCTTGAGGACAAATGGCTGTTCAGATAGAAATCTTTCTAAATAGTATTATATATGCTCTCATACTCGTCACCAGGGAATATGTAGCACAGTTTATCTTTTGAAAAATGACTTGGCACCATTTTCCTAAACATCAGTTATTGTGTGCTCTACTGTGAGGAGAGGCTGGAGGGAGTAGGGGCTGGTTATCTGTGCTCTCCAGTTTGTTATTTTTAAGATTCTGTGACATAAAAACACCATTAGCCAGACTTAACAATTGTGTGCGGATAGAGGTTAAACAGTCTTTGGTTAGGGAAAGAATCAGGAGCCTTTCTTATGGGTAAAGTGAGTAAACTTCAAAATAAGGACATTGTAACAACAAACTTTGATTGCTTGGAGTGTCTGAAAACTTGTCATTCATTTGTGTGTGTGTGTGTCTGTTCTCTGAATATCACCTGGAACTTACATGGGTCAGACTGTGAAATGTCTGACCTCTCGGTGTCTGGTTAGTTGCAGAATTTTATTTTTTATTTATTTTTCTATTATCAAAAAGGCCTTGTGCAAATCTCCCTCCTGACTTACTGGAGGAATTAAATGAAATACAGATTTTAAAGAGTAGGAAGCAAGGAAAAATCCAGTGACAGTGACAGTGACAGTTTTATCTGAATAAGAATGTTGGTGGTTTATTAATAAAAACCCACAAAGATCAAATCTATATCTTAATAAGCAATAAATGGGGGTAATTTCATCCTAAGGGTTAGGTATCTGTGATGAAGATAATTACAGTTGATAAATTAATCCCTCAGGGAATGAGAATTAACTATGTAGTAATTATACTGAGAATGAAACACTCTCAAAAGTAGATTTAAGTTCTCACTTAAGCTTGTCAAAAATATCATGCATTTCCCTCAAATTGTTAAATTGTGTTTATTAGGAATATCTTACTCCCTGGTAGTGACATAAATTGAAGTTAGAGGCCTCTAAGGGTGCTTTGGAGACATCCCAGCCCCTGGCATCTTCTTGAAGGACAGTGTCTGTAAATCCTCTTCTGTTGCAGGACTTGGGATGTGAAGTCCCTGAGCTGCCACTCAGCACCGCGCAGACTTGCCAATGGAGAGAATTGCTTAATGGTCAAAAGTCAGTCTCTGGAGTCAACCTGGGTTTGAATTCCAGCTCTGTGCCTGCTGGCTGTGCCCACCTGGGCGACAGATCCCGTCCCTGTGAACATACTCTGAGGACATGCCGACAGGGGTGGGAAAGTCCCTGGGGGCTTTCTGGAGGACTGAAAAAATGGGTGCACAGCCCACGCGGCACAGTCAGGAGCTAATGCTCTGCCTCACTTACAAATGACTTCACAGTGTGCAGAGCACCTCTACCCATTTTGATCCATTCAAGAAATATTTATTGTGCGCTGACTGTGCGCTAGGTACCATGCAAAAAGATGGGGCTACCTTAAAGAGTAAATAGCTCATGAATAGTTAACAAAATAGATTTAAAAAAGACAATAACTCAGCCTCAACGAGTTTATCCTTTCTTGGGAAGAAACAGACACCAAAGAAGTACAACATGTAATATATAAGATGGTGATACAGGGATGAAAGTTGAGGGCAGCAGCCTGCTGGCCAGGAGATGCCAGGAGGAAGTGATCCTGGATGGAGATGTGGAGGAGGTGAAAAAATGCATCACTGTGGGTCTCGGGAAAAGGGGGGTCCTGGGCCACGACCATCAGGGCAGCGTTCTCGAGGCAGAAGCTGCCTGGGGTCTTTGGGGAGCACCAGGCAGTGCAGTGTGGCTGGAACAGAGTAAGAGAAAGGGAGATTCAGAGACAAGGTCAGAAAAGCAACAAGGTGAGGAGTGGGCCGAGCGGCGTTCCCCAAGGAACTCTGGTGGCTTTGGCTTTTATTCCGAGTGAAACGTGAAGCCCCTGAGGGCTTCTGAGCATTAACTGACTTAAATTTTTTTTTGCCTTTGTATCGTATTTTTTCAATTGAAGTATAGTGGATTTGCAATGTTGTGTCAATTTCTGGTGCACAGCATCATGTTTCAGTCCTACATAGACATACATACATTCCTTTTCATGTTCTTTTTCATTATAGGTGACTACAAGATATTGAATAACTGGTTTAAATTTTAACTGGTTATCTTTACTGTTTTGTTTAGAACAGACTGAAAGGGGCACAGGTGGAAGCTGGGGAAACGGTTAAGAGATCCGACATCAATGTGGTCTGGGCCGGGGTGGTGGTGGATGTGCTCATCAATCTTAGATGATGGATACAGTAGAGATGAAGAGAGGTGAAGATGTGTTGTGTGTGGGATTTAAGAAGTAGAATCAAAGATGACTTCAAGGTGTTTTGGGCTATGAGAGACTGGCAAGATGGAATTCCCAGTGCCTGAGGTGAGAAGAGCTGCAGGTCAGGTAGCTTTGAGAAGGTGGAAGACCAGGAGCTCGGTTCCAGGCACACTGAGTTTGCAGTGTCTGAGGATGTTGGATGGCAGTTGGATGTACAAGTCTGGGGTGTCCCGGAGAAGTCGGGATTGGAGGTCAGAACTCAGCTTTGTCAGGAATAGATGATATTTAATGCAGTAATCCTGGAGTGGAGACAGAGGAGTCTCAGGGCTGAAGTTGGGGAACTGAGGAACAGAACGACCAGGGTGATGTGGTTTTCTGGGATTCTACCAAGTGGAGGAAGTGTTTGCAGGCGAGGAGAATGATCAGCCAACTGCCTGTAGGTCAAAGTTAGGGCTGAAAACTCCCACTGGACCCAACAGCCTGGACAGGCACTGGTGTCCAGGACAAGGACAGGTCCACGGAGTAAGGAGCAGAGGAAAGCCTGGTGGGAGTGACTTCCAGAGAGAACAGGTGAGGAAGAGCTAGAGTCAGAATGCAACTCCTTGGAGATCATTAACTGTGAAGAGGAAAGGAGGATGGAGAAATAGCTGAGTGGGAATGGGAGCTGAGTCTGACCCGTTGTGTCATTTAGGGTCTCGGTTGCCTTATTGATTTTTCTGTCTGGAAGACCTGTTCAGTGATGTCAGTGGGGTGTTAAGTTCTCCCACGATTATTGTATTCGCATCTTCCTTTTGTTTTGTAAGGTGGACAAAATCATGACATGTTTATTTTTGGTTCTCTATTTAGAACAGTGTGATTTGTTCCAGCGGTCAGCAAATGCCTTCTGTCACATACAGGGTAGTCAATATTTAGCTTTATGTTGAAATCCCTAAATCTGCTTTTGTAGCACTAAAGCAGCCTTGGACAAGACATACTGAATAGATGTGGCCATGACCCAGCAAAACTTTATTTATAAAAATCAGTGCTGGGTCTGACTTGCCCTGTGCATCGAGTTGACTGACCCCTGGTCTGTAGCATCAGGACCGAAGTCAGAGTGTGTAGGCACATACAGAGAGCAGTGGATAGATGTCCGGGTGGGGCTTGTAATTGATTTTGCTTTCTTAATAAAACAGGAAGCAAGGTCATGAGTTGCAGGTGTGGTGGGGTAGAGTGTTGTGGTTTGGAGAGAGAAAAAGTGGTGCATGGACCAAGAAATACACTCTGACTGTAGGGTCATGGACTTCTTAAGGTCAGTGATCATAAATGTAGAATGAGATCCGTCAACACGTTGGCATGTTCACGTCTCGCCACACTCATAAAGAGAAAACTAGAGGATAGGGACGTATTTACCCTTTGGAGACTTATCCATGTCGTTGCTTGTGTTAATATTTGGTGCTGTCTCATTACTGAGCACTGTGTCCTAGTATGGATACACCAGCTTGTTTTTCCTTTAAACAATTGTTGGAGATTTGGGTTGTTTTCAGTTTGGCTGTATTATATACGTTGCTGTGAATAATTGTACAAGTCTCCGTGTGGACATACGTTTTCATTACTCTTGGGTTAATACCTAGGAATGAGATTTCTGGATTTTATGGCAAAATGTATTTTACTTCTATAAAAATACTACCATGGTTCTATCAGAATAATGGTGCCATTTTGCATTCCTACCACTTGTTTCACGTGCTCCCCAACACCTAAGTTTTTTGACTTAATGTAGTGGCTAGGACCTCAAGTTCAGTGTTGAGTAGAATTGTAAGAGATGCTTATTACTGATTCTAATTGAAACATTCACTGTTCGGTATAATAGCAGCTCTAGATTTTTGTCGATCTCTTGGTAAGACTGAGGAGGGTTGATTGATTTCTAGATGTTAGATAAGTTGGGAAAATTACTAGCACAAAATTGCTCGTAATATTTGCTTTTCCTTTTAATGTCTCACTGTAGTGATCATTCATACATGTTTGTGATATTGTTAAATTGTGAATTTTTTTGAACACTAGCTAAAGACTTACCCATTTTCTCTGTATTTTCAAAACATCAGCTTGATTTCATTCGTTTTCTCTATTTTTTTCCACTGACTTTTAGCTCTTTATTTTTTTTTTACTTAGTTTGGATATTATTTGATATCCTTTTGGTATTTAAAGTGAAACTTATGTAGTTGATTTTAGGTCTTTCTTCTTTTCTACTGTGAGCATTTAAATTACAAATTTCCCTTGTAAGTCCTGCTTTAGCTGCAGTGCACACATATTGATATAGTGCATTTTCATCTTTTTCCATTAAGAAATATTTTCTCGTTTCCCTTGTGATTTCTTGTTTGGTCCATGCATTCTTTAGATACGTGTAGTTAGGTTTCCAAATATTTAGGGTTTTCTTAAGTACTTGAATATGTTTTTTTTTAAATTTTGTCAGGGAACATACTCTATGATTTCAGTCCTTTTATATTTACTGAGACATTTTGAATGGCCCAGCCCAGCACATGCCTCCTGGCAACCTTACCGTGTCCCCTTGAAATGTGTATCAGGCATTGTGGGGTGTAATGTTTAAATATTAGTGGAGTCAAGTTGATTGACAGTCCTGTTGAAATCTTTTAAGTCTTTTGTCTGGTTTATAGTTATTGATCAGAGAGTGTTAAAATGTCCAACTTGGATTATGGAATTATGCTTTAGGTATTTTGAAGCTCTGTTATTAGACACATACATATTTATAATTTTACCTAAAAAATCATATTACTGACTTAGATTAAATTTCAGGATATTCAGTGGATACAACTCTTTTAACCCAAAATATCTTTCCTTTTTTCTACTTTTTCCCCCTACATTGTTCCGGAAGATTATGCAAATCAATTTGCCAATCTCTTCGGATTATGCCCATAATTTTTATTTTCTAAAATTTAGGAGAAAAACCTGTATCATTTACCCTGAACTCATTTCACTTTCCAAAATATTAGTTTTGTGTTCTAGTTTTGTTTTCCTTCCCATCTTTTTTTTTGATTGATTGTTTCCATTGTTAACAAACATCAGAGCTTCATCTATGAATTTTCCATAGACTCTGACTTCAGCTATTTCTTTACGTATGGAAGTAACTTTTGGTACTTTTTACCGTAAGTAAACTTCACTCTAACACCCTTTTCCTGTTACATAAAATACTTTAAGTGCTGCTGAAAGGGATTTTTTTTAAACAAACACTTTTAAATTATAAATGAAAAAAAGATGAATAATTCAGGTCACTGTTCAGACCTGTAGAGGCCACACATGATACCTTTCTTACTCTGATCTTTTCTTACCATCTGGAGCAGTGGTTCAAGATTTTTTTTTTTCTAAAGAAATGGGTTTTTTTTTAATTTAAATTTTTTTAATTGAAGTGTAGTCGATTTACAATCTGTTATTTCTGGTGTACAGCACAGTGATTCAGTTATACATATATATATTCATTTTCATATTCTTTTCCATTATAGGCCATTACAAGATATTGAATATAGTTCCCTGTGCTACACAGTAGGTCCTTGTTGTTTACCTATTTTATATACAGTAGTTAGTATCTGCTAATCCCAAGCTTCTAATTTATCCCTCCCCCTACTGTTCCCTCTGGTAACCATAAGTTTGTTTTCTATGTCTGTGAGTCTTGTTTCTATTTTGTAAATAAGTTCATTTGTGCCTTTTTTTTTAGATTCCACATATAAGTGATCTCATATGGTATTTTTCTTTCTCTTCTGGGTTAACTTCACTTAGTATGACAATCTCCAGGTCCATCCATGTTGCTGCAAATGGCATTATTTTATTCTTTTTTATGGCTGAGTAGTATTCCATTATATAAATACACTACAATTTCTTTATCCAGTCATCTGTTGATGGACATTTAGGGTTGCTTCCATGTCTTCGCTATTGTAAATAGTGCTGCTGCGAACACTAGGGTGCGTGTAGGTTCAAGATCTTTTTGATCATAAGGATCTTTTTCAAAAATGTCCAAAAGTATTTTTGGATTCCCACCTGATAGTAATAGTAGTTTTCCTTTTAGTATCGTTTGATTAAAATGTTGAGGAATAATAACATGCTGATATAATTTAGCAGCGTTTCTAGATGAATTTTCATGTTATTAATCACAACTCCATATGTACCAATTTGGTGAATAATGTAGTTCATCTCTCTAGGGGATAAAAATGATTTGGGGTTTAGGGAGTAGTTGGTATATCCACAATTTCTCCTTGACTTACTCTGTTGGTTCAATTTCGTTGATAACAAATACTATCTCTACCTTTCCTCTCTTTTTCTTTCCATTTTTCACCCTCTTTTTCTTCCTTTCCTTTTTCTAGTTTTTGGTATTCCTCTTTCAGTCAATACATTACGAGTGTGTGTGCTAGTAAGGAATTATTTTTCTGATGTTTACTCTAAGATTGGCTGGGCAAGAAGTCTCTGGATATCCCGTAGTCAGTCTTTGAGTTGCTGTAAATAACGCTCCCTTAAGTAAGCATTTCATCACTATAAAATTCTTTCTGCATTCTTTTTTTAAATTGAATTAGAATTGATTTACAAGGTTGTGTTAGTTTCCAGTGTACAGCAAAGTGATTCTGTTTTATATGTATATATATAAATATATATATTCTATTTCATATTTTTCCATTATCAGTACTACAAGATATTGAATACAGTTACCTTCTTCCTGCATATTGATGAGCTAAATGACTTTATCCTTCATCCTGACTTGTTTATAGAGGTTTTCATTCAGGTTAACTTCTTTATGTAACTAATTTATTAATACTCTATATTATTTGTTAGTTTTGACTTTCAAAAGATGTAGACCCCACATCTATTTATCAGAGTTGGTATCACTTTTATGACATATTCCCTGATTTGATATCTAGACTTGATTTATTTTTGCACTAGGGAGGGAAATTTCTGACAAATAAGGACTAGATATTTTAAACATGTTTTTAAAATATTATACCAAGAAGTCCTGGAATTTATAAGAGAGGGAGCTCCATTAAATGGGGATAATTTAGTAAGAACACAATATTAAAATTACAAAAATCCACATTTTTATGAATGATGGGTTTCACATTTCTTTATTGGTTTATAATTTAGTAAAATTCAGGCAGAATTTCACAGTGAAGTTACTTAACAGTAAAGTAATCCTATTTGAAGGCTGTCTGAAGATAAAGCTAAAATATTTGTCCAAAGAAATACTATTTGCTCAGATTCTTTTCCATTATATGTCATTACAAGGTATTGATAGAGTTCCCTAAAAAGAAAAAAAATATATGTACATATGTGTGTAACCAAATCACTTTGCTGTACACCTGAAACTACCACTATGAATCAACTACATTTCCATAAAAAAAATTTAAAAATTAAGAAAAAACTCCGCACCTTTTAGAAGCCTCTGAAATGGTGCAGCTGATGGAATGTGTATTTTTTCAACATCCTCACTGATAATTGATACTCATATAGTGCTTCTGGTCTTCCCAATGCCAGGGCAAAGAGCCAGGCCCATGTTTCATTACCAGGATAACGTTTTCATTCTCAGAAGTGGTTGTATCTAAGAGGAAAAAACGTGCATGTGGCCCCATTGGTGAAATGGACTCCAGGGTCAAGGCAGACCTGCTCCCAGTTGACTGAGAGGGAGGCTTCCCCGACCCGGCATGAGTCCTGGCCCAGTGTGTCGTGGTTCTCCGTGCCCATGGGTCCTGTGTCCACACCCCATCTGAACACATGTGGGAAGGAAGAGAAAGAGGGACAGGAATTATTGCAATTCTCTTTCGAGATTTTACAATTATTTGACTTAAATTGATATATAACTATTAGCCTCCCATATATGGTTAATATTACATAGAGCAGAATTGCATTCTTTCCTTGAAAAGCTGGAATCATTTGTTTCCCTGAAATAATCAGAGATGTTCTCAACTTTGCCTTCTCTATTTTTTTTTTTTTAATTTTGAATCTTACCAAAAATTGCACGAAATGTTCTATTCTTGTTCTGATTTAGTTGTTTTGGGGGTAAAATTGAGCTCTATAACTGTCTGTAATAAAGCTGAAAAGTGAAATAACCTGTTCAATTAGAGAGCATTGTGGCTTCCTCAGAGGTACAATGGAATGGTTTTAGACATCTGTAGTATTTAAACAAGATCCAAATTATGTGTTTACAGGTTGGCTTTAATTTCTATTTATTTTTTAAACGTTCAGTGTTTACAAACGTCCCCACCCACATTCAGTAACCCTTACGTAGAAAGTGCGTACGTGGGGTTTCTTCTACTCTTTGAGCTTTAAAGGGGCCCGAGGGACGTTGGGAGCTCCTGGGAAGGGCGTTCATCCGAGAGTAAATGATGACACAGCATTTCACGAGGGAGAAAAAAGCAGCTTGAATTCCTGCTTGTGTCCCCGCAGGAATCTTCTCGGTCCTCAGCTTGGCCTCCGAGTGCACCACGCTGGCGGCCGAGCTCCCCAAGGTGTCCTACGTGAAGGCGCTGGACGTGTGGCTCATCGCCTGCCTGCTCTTCGGCTTTGCGTCCCTGGTGGAGTACGCGGTGGTGCAGGTGATGCTGAACAACCCTAAACGCGTTGAAGCAGAAAAGGCCAGAATTGCCAAGGCCGAGCAGGCGAATGGGAAGGGGGGCACCGCGGCGAAGAAGAACACGGTGAACGGCACGGGCACCCCCGTTCACATCAGCACCCTGCAGGTGAGCGCGACCTCGCCGGCGGCGGAGCGACTTCCGCGCCCCCCACCCCCGCCCCGGCTGCATCCTGTCGGGGTGCCGGTGTCGTGGGATCGGTACTCGTTTGTCTCTCCCGGATGAAAAGGGAGTGAGCGCAACAGACTTTCTGGAGGAGAGCAGAAAGCTTAGGTCCCGTAGTAATTAACAAAAAGGAAATCAACACCTTATCTAATTTCTGGAGGACTCGGCGTGGAGTTTAAGGCCGCACCTCTGCTCTGATGGTCACCCCTGAGTGTGGAGGTCTTGCGGAAGACTTTCCTGCTGTCTCTCACCTGACAAGCCCAGCAGGGGGCCAGGGCGCTGCTGGGGGGCCCGGAAGGCTGAGCCCATGCTCTTGGTTCAGTCTCGCACCTGTTCCCCTCAAGAGGGAGGGCTTCACACAGCACACGGCAGGCAGTCTCCCGATTTACTGGATGCCTGGCCCGTGGGGAGCTGTGCCCGCGTTTGGGGTTTGTCCAGCCCAGGGTGAGTAGTTGAAGAACTGGGCAGTAATTTGCTTGTTCACTCATATATTTCTTTTTTTATTCAATAAGAAGAGTTGAGGACCTACTGTTGCTAATAACATCGTGTTCCCAGCTCCAAGCATGTGCCAGGTGTGTTCACAGCAAAGGTGTTGCTGTGAATAGAAGGTAGAATATGTCTATGGATGTGAATCAATTAAGACATCAAAGCTGGGGGGAGGGTAGAGCTCAGTGGTAAAGCATGAGCTTAGCATGCACGAGGTCCTGGGTTCAGTCCTCAGTATCTCCATTAAATTTGTATATATACGTACATAAACCTAATTCCGCCCCCTCCAAAGAAAAACAAAAAACAAAACTGAAAACATCAAAGCTGCTGTACATGCAGCACGAATGGGAGAGTTGTTTCTTTACAGTAATGATATATTTTTTAAAATAAGGATTGATTTAAATTTGGTAAAATACATAAAGGAAATTTCCCTGTGAACACATTTGTATCATCTGTGGAAGATGCAGTTATCCGTATGAAACCATGCCTGCGTCTTCCGGTTAAGAAATACTGTGTGCGGTGATTGGCTTTTAAACGTGTGCAGATTCGGACCGAAAAGGACCACGAAGCAAATCTCCCTGGCTATGGTCTGGAGCCTTAGGAAGTTCTGTCCGCATCATTAATTTTTATTCCTGACAGTTTCATTATCATAATACCCGGTTTTTGCTACGAGTCATTTTCAGAAGTGACACGTTTACATGATGAAAGTAAATGAGAGACACATATTCATGTGAGGAAAAATGGGGAAATTATAGATTGGAGACTAATAGAAGCAAGACCGCTGTAAGACTGTGTTACGCGGGGGTGCTGTCTTGTTGATAACTAGTTCATTTGATCCCTCTTGATGTGATGGTACAATTGTTTAAAACAGTATTTATACTGTAAACACTTTTGTCCGCTTGTGTACATACTTGATTTGATAATTATGTGCAGAGGGCATTAACTGAAGAGGAAAGCTGTGTTTGTGTGAAGTCTCTGCTGAGCGGGAGAAGGTGGGAGCAGTGAACTAGGGAAGGAATGAGGAGCTGTTTAAAGAGCCTGAGGGCTTCTCCATAGGGAACCCAGTTTTATCCCTCATTCAGAGCTGTCCCATCATTAAAAGTGACTCCTGTAACAGGCGCTCGCCACCAGGACACACACACAACTCATTTCAAAGATAACAGTCTTCAAATACCTTTATAGAAGAGGTTTTAATAAAATCAAAACCCTGAGAGAACGTGTAAATGCATTTTAACTTGTTTTTTCACCCGGTGTCTCTTGGTTTCTCTGCTCCCCACTTCTGAAGGCTGCCGCCCAGCTCTTGGCAAGAAAATATACCTCAGTGTTTGTTCAGGTCAAGGACGGCCTGCTGGTACCTGACATACTACTGGGGAAGAATCAGTTTTACTTTTTACCTTAAGTGTAATCTTTACCCAGCCCTCATCTAGTCAATGACAATAGAATTCGTGTAACTAGTCAGCGCATCTTACTAATAAGGCAAAGGCCGGAGTAACCACTGTGTGCTAATCGTGTACAATGATGTGTTTCCCTTTTTTGGTAAAAACAGGAGATATTAATAGTGAAGATTCCCAAGGTGAACACCAGAGGTCAGGAGAGAGATCAGTGGAATATTATGCAGTTGGGTCACAGTTTCGTCCTTCTGTGGCCTTTCCTGACGTCAGTGCCCTTAAACCATAGGTCAGCCTATACCTCCATCTTTTCCAAGATCTCTTCAGATTGCCAGGAAGAGTTCATTGTGAAATAATTATTTGATATATTATAGGAAATGGAGTCAGATTTAATAATTACGAGTTTCTCAGCCAAATAATCTGTGTAGCATATGATCCAGCTGAAATATACACAGTTCCTTTGGATTCTCTGCATTTGGAGTCTCTGTGTAATTCGTCTTTAGTCAACAAGGGAGAAATGCCTTTCACTAGTGAATCTTTTGTTCATGGTAATGGTGACCATGTTCAGTTCTTATTTGTGAGTGTAATTTAGGGACACACTGTCTCACTGATGTGACAAATGCCTCAGTCTTCTATAAACCATCTGGTTTGGAAGTAGGATCCATGGGGAAGTCAAAGATTAGAAGTACCAGAAGATTTTTGTAATTCATATATTGTACTGAGATGAGCTGTGCTGTTTGTGGTTAAAGATGGGTTTTTATTTATCACTCATTCTTTCAACTGAGAACTCTCACGAGCCTGGGAGTACCTAAGATAACTGGTGATTTGTGCTTTGATCTCTTATCATAAAATAACCTACTGAAAGTTTATTCCACGACATAAACCTTGTTATGTACACAACACGGTAGAACCCTCCATGTTCAGGTCACCTCCTGGTTTAATCAGTTGACTAGAATTTCTGTTTAACCAAAAGAGATCATAGTCAACGGATTAAGCCATCTGATTTTTTAAAGTATCTTTTTGAAAACGTCTTCTACATAGAAAAATTCTGAATACCCCCGTCTTTCCCTTTTATCCTCAGGTTGGAGAGACCAGATGCAAGAAGGTGTGTACCTCCAAGTCTGACCTGAGATCTAATGACTTCAGCATCGTGGGCAGCTTACCGAGAGATTTTGAGCTGTCCAATTACGACTGCTACGGGAAGCCCATTGAAGTCAACAACGGCCTCGGGCGATCTCAGGACAAGAACACCAAGAAGCCGCCTCCCGCCAAACCCGTCATCCCGACAGCCGCCAAGCGCATCGATCTTTATGCCAGAGCGCTGTTTCCTTTCTGCTTCCTGTTCTTCAACGTGATCTACTGGTCGATATATTTATGATAAACCTTTTCCATTCATGTTAAGTAAGAGCCCATCGCATCGTGACCAGCCTCGTCCATCAAGGCCAGCCTGCGGACGATTGTTTGCATCTTCACAGCAATACACTGCATCTTGGACGCCATCGGTTGTCATAGAAACGTGGCTCCTTAATTTGGAATGGCAGCATGATCTCGTTACGTCTGTGCTCTAATCATGATGTATTTATGTAAAGCAAACGTGTCGCTTTAGGAACCAATGAAGGACAAGTGTACCACATAAACCAAAATCCAAACGTTTCTCTCCAGTTAGTGTGAATTGCAGATACTTCTGATAATTCTGATAGTAATTCTGTGCTCGCTGAACCCTGTCATGATCTGATCGCCATTCTAATGTACGTGTTGCAAACTCCCCTCCTTGTAACTTGCAGAGAAAGCCATCTTATTCTTGTATAATTTTAGATGGTATTATCACAGATAAAGCAGAATTATATTACATATCATTTAAATTTATAAGTAGAAATATATCAGCTATAATTATGCAAGCTCTGTGGAGAAATAAAGTTCAAAGATGTACTAATTTGTAAAAAATCAGCTCATTTTAAAGTCTGCCTGTATTGTCAAAATGCCAGGGAATAAAACACAGTAAGCGTTTTTGAAACAAAAGGAAATCTAGATGCACCTAAATTCGTGCTGAATTCTGGTCTCTGATAAAATAAAACTAAAGGATAGATATATTGATTAAATATTTCTGATAAAAGAAATTCTACTTTAAAACCTAAATATATTTTCGTGGATTTTATTTTGTTGATACAGAGTATACAAAATCATTGTGCCTTAAAAAGAGTCATAAATATTTTAAATCGGAATATAGTAGTGGGTATGTGATTTCACACCACTGTTAAGAAACCAAGAGGAAAATACCTTATTACTAGAAGTAACTTGGGTTTGGGAAGGAAAATTCATAGTAATTAAAGGATTTTAACTTCTTTATTTTATTAAAATGCTTACGTATTTCAAAGTAAAATTAAATTTTTTTTCTGAATTTCTTTTTTTCTTATTTGAATAGCTTTTGATTTTGCTACAAAACATTTAAGGATTAAGTAAGTAATTACTTTATGTTAAGCCTCTCTTCTTCTTGTATTTTCTTTCTTGCTAAAAGTCTAGATTGCTTAGATTTCCTTGCTTTGATCTTGTTCCAACTTTAAAATAGATACTTTCTGGTCTCTGACACTCCCGGGTCGCCATAGCTGATAGCAAGACTCTGTAATCCACCTAACACGAACATGACGCCATGTGAGAATATGTACATCCTTTGGAGAGTTTTGTTGCAGCTGAGAGTTTGTGTGGTCAATTCAATAATAAAATGTGTTTGAATATTGTTTGTGCCAATTGCCATGCATAATTCAGTGCTATTTTGTTGAAGACTAATTTTTTACAAAATCACTGATTGCTAAATCTTTAAAAAATGAAATGTATCTAATCCTCCACAGTCCTTCAGCACCCTCTAATTGCAAAATCTCAGCCATCTGAGTAGTTTTTAAATTCCCCCCCAAAACTATATTTGATGGGTTTCAAAATCTTGCTAGGATCCAGGGCAAAAACATCTTAATGGAACTGTGATAGGAAAAAAGAAAATGTCTTGAATAAGACTTAGACCATTTAAAATTTGTATTTAAAATCATTATATTTGCTTATAATCTCTTTTCTTTATTCTTTCAAATTTCACTCATATCAGGGAGTTTGTTTTAGAACCAGAGTTGAAGCGGGAAAGTTACCAGATGGAAGACAGATCTCATTATAGAGGATTTATTTCTTGAAAATAATGTGAATTAATTACTTTCTGTAATATGATATTGTAGCCTCTTAAGATCAATTTTAATACCCAAATACATACAAATGGCTGTCCCAGGATTAAGTGCGCATATATAGCTGCAAATGGAACATTCCATGGTGACCATGACGAAGTCCAGTTGGTGTCCGCTAACAGTTGCTTCATATTGTTACCTCGAGAGTCTAGTTACTTAACCCCAGGGTAGTCCTGATCTGTGTACTTCAAATAGTATGTCTTTCTAGGAAACGTGCAGTATATTTACCTGGATATCAGCATCTCAAATTCGTTGTTTCCAAAATTAAAAAAAAAAGATCTCCTTACAATTTGGTTGTTTCTTTCATTTTCTGTTTCTGATAGAGTCATCACTGTTCCGGTCACCTGTGTTAAATCTGCCTTCCTTTCCCACACGGTCCAGTCATAGAGATTCTCTCTCACACCTGCCACCTCCTCTCCTTCTGGGGAGGCCACCGGAAATCCGTGTCCCTTTCCCAGTCATCAGACTGTGACAGTGGTCCCCAACCCCACTCCTTTATAACTCTTATTTTTCAACTTGCTTTGTGATGTTCCTTTTTTAATTGCTAAGTAATACGTGAATACCTGGATGGATTAAAGAACGAACAAATGTGTTAAAAGTGAGGAAGGACTTCACATTGCCATCACAGTCTCTTCTCTTCAAACTCTCGCCCAGTCCCCAGAGGTCGCCAGGGTCTTGTGAACATCCAGACTCACTCGGGGCATTTACAGCCTCTGTCTACTTTTTAAATATGAAACATAATTGAACATAATGGGGTTTAATGTAAATGGGAATCTACTGGATGTATAGTTTTACAATTTGTTTATTTTTCATTTAATATGTTTCAGAGATCTTCCTATGTGGGCACATCCTGGATGTTTATAAGCCTATCTTTGGCTATCCTTCTATATAGCATGAATGTGGCTGAGCTTCGCTTCTTTTTAAACAGAAATTTTGATTGTTTTTCCTTTCTACTACAAAATAAGTTAATTGCAATAAATATTTTTGTGCACGTACATGGCTATTTCTGTCAGGCAGATGCCACAATTTGAGGTGCTGAGTTGAAAGATGTATACGTTTTCAATTCCAGTGGTTTCTCCCAAATGTCCTTCCAAACGCCTCGAAGGTAGCTTTTTATGATCCTCTCACAGCCTGGTCTTCCTATAACCTGTTGTATGTTGACATATTACTTTGCTTTTTTAAAACCTTTTTTGACATTGTGTCAGACTTAAAAACATGCAAAAATATTACAAAGAATTTTTGTGCACCATTCATCCAGTTTCTCCAAACATTAGTATTTTATCACACGTGTTTTATTTTCCCTCCTACTGTGTGTGTGTGTGTGCGTGCATGAGACACTAAAGTTGCAGATACGATGGTGTTCCCTTATATTAACACACTTCACTGTATGTTTCCTAAACCAAGACCTCCTTTCAGAGCCACCCTGGTACCAGGTACCCAGATGGAGAAACTGACATTGACAAAATACTATCATCTAGAGACTTTATTCAAATTTGCCAATTGTCTTGCTTTTTCTTTTTCTTTTTCTTTTTGGTTCATGATCCAGTCCCTAGTACTCCATTTTTAATTTACCTGTCATGGCATTAGTTTCTTTAAAATAAAGCTGTGGTCACAGCATTTTGCTCAAACATTTTTAGACCTTTGTGTTGCCAATGAACTATAAAAAATACCTTTCTCTGACGCATAAAATTCTCCTCGTTAGATGTTTAACTTATTTTGTAGTCATTTCTCACACTGCCCGCATCTTAAACTCCAATCAGACTGAAGCTGACCTTTGTATATCACACTTAGCAGTGATGGCAGTTCTGAGTTCGGTCAGGTACCTTTCCTTTTGGGTAAGTGGTTAATTTTAAGTCTCATTAGTTCTTTGAAGTGGGCTGGTCTTGGATGCTGTGTCTTTAAATGTTTATTTTAACTAATACGTTTTGACTCAACATTACGTGTTTTTCAGGCTTATGCTTTCATCTCTATTGACTAATGAAATTAATATAGCCCAAAAAACGTGCAGTGTTCAAGCTCAGCTGCTCTAAAAACAACTCAGTTATCATCTGTAGTAAGGGGAATTTCAGTCTGCACAAATAGTTGGATATAAAATTTTAAAGTACCAAGACTGAGATGACAAGTAGTTTGAAATCTTTTTTATAACCTTTAATCAAGATTTCTTGTTAGAATATTATTACTTTGCTTTAGAAAAGCAGATTTATTCCAACTATATTTTCTAATTAAATGCATATGTTTACACAGTATATCATTAATTTGGCATTCCCTAACTACCCCTCCACCCTTTTTTATGAAGCTAGTCTTAACCTTTTAAGAGGTTAGGGTTGAGTTCTTCAAGGCATTAGACACGTCAATTGGGCAAATATACTTTACAGATTTTCTTGTGATTAATATTAGTGGATAATGTGGATACCATACTCAGGGTTGGTTATAATTTCAATATTTACATATATACATATAAACTTGATATTTTGCATTTAATATATTTTATATTTTCTCTACATATGTATATATACACATACATATATATACATACGCATTATTTAATTTTGTCCTTAACCAGCAAGAGCAAGGAGAAAATTAATAAATTCTGTTCCAGTTGGAATTTCTGTATTCCAGACAATAATTGCATTTTCACTCCTGTAAATATTTTTAAATTTCTCACACTCAAGGATCACACCCAAAACAGTTCTTTCGAAATCTTCTCTACTGAACAAAAAAATTGTAAAACAGTAAATGCTTACTGAGTGCTTAATATGTTAAAGGTATTGTGTTAGCGAAAAATTGTTAGGACGAATAAAATGCATAAGGAAGGATAGACTCTTAAATGGTAAGTCAAGAGTGTAAGAACAGAAAGTATGCTAATTAGACAAACCACCTTGGTACAAATCAGAACACATACTGCGTATCATTAAAAAGCGTAAGAGAAAGGACGAAAATCAATCATTTGCCTGAAAAGAAAAGACAGAAAAATAAGAAATACTTGAATGTAGAAAAACAAAAGGCCAATTTTCTAGAGGTCCTAGAATTTGGAAGCTAGACATGAACTGTTACAGAAATCAGGCATTATAAGGTGCAGAAACAGTTCAATAAAAAATATTAAGGTGTTATTGGAATTTTATTTCCTAGTTCACATTGCTGAGAGGATAATGAACAGCAAAGCAAAAATGTTCCTTTGCTGATGAGGTAACACACTTCACCTAGTGTTTGTTTCTTAACTGAAACTCCCATCTGATCTTAATCCTATACCTTGAAACAATTTTCAGTAAATCCCAATTTGCAGCCCGAGGCAGTGGCTGTTCCATTAAGATGATCACAGGGAGGTGACCAGAAGGAGTCGGACCTCTCTAAGATTTAGCAAGAATGCAGTCAAATGGCAGGTCCTTCCCCAATTACCTCATCAAACAGGTTTTATTAGTCAATTAACATTGCCTCACCCTGTGTCCCGGCTGACACGGAACAGAAACCTCATTTTGCAAAATGGTAAACAAGAGGAAGAGGTAAATGATTTTAGCTTTTGGAAAGCTCAGCTACGTTTATTGTATGTTCTCAAGGGATGTTCTTTTAAGCATTCATTGGAGCTGGAAATGTAGCAGGAGGAACAGGACACTTAACATAGTACACACTCTAGCCCTTCTCTTCCAGGACCAGGACCTCACGCCACAGAGATTTTAGAAACCACCGAAACATCAGATCTCCCTCCTTACTAACAAACTTACGCATTTTAAAAATAAATCTAACGATCTGCAGGTTGGTCAGCTGCAAAGATGATCTTTAATGTATTAATGGGGAGAATATGACATAGAACTCATTAAGAGGGAATGTCTGATAAATTTCACCGCGGACTATTAAAAAGCCTCTTTCTGAACACATCTGCCCTTCTCTGCTTTATTCATTTGTGTTGTACTCAAAAGCCCTTTCATGCAAAGATCGCTTGAGTCTCCAATCAGTCCACTGGCATCTTGGAAGCGTTTGAATTTCCAGCGAAGTAACTTCAGTGTCCAAATGAAAATGAGGAATTTCCTAAAGGGTGTAGATAGGACGTGCATCACACAGAAATGATCCAAGGGTCTCCACTACGTCAAGAGCCAGTCCTGTATGAGAATCCAGAGGGAGGCAGGCGAGGGGAGAAGGACGTCTAGGCTGGAAGGAGCACGTGTGGGTTACCGTGCGTGCACAACCCCGCAAACCTTGTCAAAGAGTCTTTTTCTCAATTACCCAATTTTTAAAGAGGGAGTAAAAATACTATAAGAATTATCGACTGCAATATGTTAAGTCTGTCTTTTAGAGTGGTTACAGGCTAGGACTTGGAAGGAGCTGTCTATCCAGTGTTCCATTTACGAGTGTAAATCTCGGCAATTGTTTTTTAAAACATCCTGAGCCTCAGTTTCCCCATTTAGAAAACATGGGTGATGATGACAACCTCCTACTATGATTATGAGGATTTAATGTGTCATTTAATGTAAAGCTCTCAGCAGGTACCCAGCACATAGTAAGTGTGCAATAAATCACAATCATTATTATCTCTACCTCCTACGGCTGTTACTATGTCTGCATCAGCTCTCATGAGAAAACTACTTCCAAAGCAGTTTCGGTTTTCCAATTTTTTTTTTATTAGCATAATGGGTGTTTGGCTAAAAAAATACACTGACATCCATAATCATTGGAGATCAGTCTTGAATATAACACAATTTAAGGAGAGGAGCAGTAGCAGGAACCAGAAAATGCATATTAAAGTATACTTGGAATGTGTCAGGGTACCCTTAGAATATTTACTTGGAGGATCCGTGATTTAAGAATTAGGTTGTGGGTGATGGAAGGCCCCTAATGCAGAATCCACATAGTGAAAGGTCAGCTTTTACATTTATCCATATAAAAAGAGAACTTAAAAAATGAGATTTCAGAATTTAAAAAGAAAAGAATAAGTAAAAGAATTTCCTGGCTAGATTAAACATGCTGTATAAATCAAGCCTCATCCGCTCACGCGTGTGTGGCAATAATACATGTGCTGTCCAACCTCTTACAGCTCCTGCATGTATGGTGCTAATAGATGATTAATGCCCAAAATTATCATCCTGGAAAAGTGCATGATTCCGCAATTCTTTCTGAAATGTAGAAAGAACACTAAATTACATTCCATAGAATTGTCATGTTGACGTATTTCATTGTATTCTAATTCTTTGAAGGTTGATAATCCAACTACTGAACATAATGGTTATTCTCAATTAATCAAAATATCTGATTAAGTCAATTCTGTATAAATGATAATGTGTTAC